TCGACCACAAGTTTATTTTTTTCAATTCAATCTTGACTCAGTCCTATCGGAGTTTTCCGAAAGTCCGCCGGCTAATCGGGGTTACAGGCTGAAATGAAGTCTTGCAGCTTTTCCCTATTTGGGACTGAAACTTGGCTCTCCCCATACGAGGTAAGTCAATTCGAATGCACAATACGCGCGCTAGACGCGTACAGAAGCACACACACACACACACATACATATATATATATATATACTTCATTGGTGAAATATATACTCCTACATTGTCGTCCATGGGAGGTTATTTGGTTCCCAAAAATGGTTAAATGGAATAGAATTTTTCATTTAACGGTAGTGGCTGGATTCTCGGAACATTGCGGTAATCCTGTTGATAGGAAACTGAAAACTATTGCTTAATATATTTGTTACATATTTGCTCTCATGTGTAAGCTAATTTATTACATTTTTAAAATTATTAAAACTTCAATTAGGAAGTTACCAACTTAATTGAATCCAGAGATTTTTAAATAATTCATTCCATGATGTGATCTCAAGCTCCTCGGGTAAAAATTTAATCGCCCTCAAATGCTTTACCTTCACATGAGGTAGGTACAGCATTATTGAGTTGTGTTTAGCAATTAAATTAGATTCAATTTCAGAACGCAAGTGCATATGGTAAAATAGAACAAAAGGCAAGTACAAGGTTAAAGGTCATGTAGTTTGATTGGATATGGCCAGCCAGAAATACGTACACTATATTAGTGATAAGGAGATCTGTAGGGAAACACATACACATGAATTCAACCAGTTATTTTTTTAAAAAATAAAGTATAGATCGTCACGCCAATATGAACCTTTTAATCATCTTATGATTCCTGAGTGCCAAAATATTTTGAATTAGTGGGATAAATATTATCTTCCGTTTTATCGCTGAAAACCAGATAAAAAAGACTTTCAACCTTGTGGTGATCATTGAAGTATCTCCTGTAAAGTGACCTATATTTATTTGTCGATTTGGTCTTCTTCACATTAGATATCGAGTTCTCACTGGTTGGGTTAGAGATCTATTATTTAGGCAAGAGTGAGGCAAAGTTGGAGTAACTTCTTAACAAATCACCTCAAATTGTATCGTATCAAATATTACCGAGTATTTACCATTTGGGTCACATAGAATATAAGAGAACTCGAAATTTTCCTTTCTTTCTCAAATTAATCGACAATTCTACTGCTTGCCTCGTCGCCCTTCATGCACTTCAGGAATTTCATCAGCATTTTCCATGTATCGTCTTTGAATTGGAATGCCTTTCGTTCAAAGGGGCAGGAAATTAGTGCAGACGTTATCTTTTTTACACAATAAAGAATGACACTCAAATAAGAAATTGTCTAAGCTTATATGTTTACTTTAAGATCTCGTATGCCTGCCAATAAGAAACCGGTGAAGGCTAAAAATTATGGAACTATGACGAAAATGCTAATGGTGATAACGAGGAAGGAAGTATATTTGCATCCGAAGAAAATGTTACCGATAATCTTGATGACATTGAAGTTTCTGAAAATGGAGCTGATTATTATTATTAAAAAGAAGATTTTATCGATGTCGACAGCATTAACGAAGTGTTAATTGTGATGCAGGTGAGATTAAAATGAGAAAATCGTATAATTAGGATGAGAAGCTGTGGATGATTTGCATAATTATAAAAGCACTGCTGATGATCGAGAGGGCGTTGGTAAAGTCGCTGTCCTTAATTCATCGAATCTTTCCAAAGAGGAAATAGTTCCTTTGATATTTACTTAGCCAGTTTGTTATGGCCTGTTCACTTAAATTTTGTGTGGGCAGTTAATTTCTCCCACTCTGCGCATAATCTAATCGATATTTGAAGCGATAAGTGTTAGTCAAATTGCTCATTTTATTCGTTACGTGATATTATCATTATTATTGTTGTCAACAGTAGAAGTAGTGGTAGAAGTAGCTTTATCTTTATGACCTTCTAAAATTGCAAGTTTGCAGGCAATGAGATTTGAATTTTTGCCCATATATTTTTACTGGAGACTTGGAAAAAAGACCTGGAGGAAATCAGATCGAATCCCATGGGTATGCAGAGCTTCACTGAAAGCGCAGATGAAACAAACCTCAACAAAGGCTATGTGAACAACTGAGCGAAATGATTACCAGTTTACTTCGCACTTGTGAGTAAAAGCAAAGACCAAAGTGCAACCACTAGCACCAAGCTTGTGAAGACTTTATCAGATGTGATGGAATGATATTGTGCAAATGGATTACTGAGTTAATCTCGATCGATTTCTTCAACGTGAACAGTTTAATTTAAGTTACAAATTGGAAGAATTTACTCCATTTTCAAAGACTTAAGAAATTACATACACCGATTGTTTTCAATAATACTATTTTCGTTATCATTGTGCTGATGAAATCGAGGGAAAATTCAAAAGTAGATCGGAATGAACCTGATGGAATTGTTGGAGATTCCAAAGTCAATAATTTTGGCTTACATGAATGACCTTTATCAAATTAAAAATAAACTAATGATTTACTGTTAACGATTTTACAAGATCGGTATAAAATTTTGAAGAAAGTGATAAATTAAAGGTTCCTTAATGGGCACAAATTTGTGAGCAATGCCTATTATTTCGATAATTCCGTGTTATTATTGAGATCTGTAGTTTATGTTTATATTTTGACCTTCATCGAATTGCCAACGAAGGTGAACACATTTTAACTACCGCCATTGGCGATTTTACAGTACCAACAGCTAAAAGCCTTCAATTTCTCAACAAACAGCAGATTTCGAAATACTTTCTAAATTGCTTGAAAGCTAATATAAATAGAAAAAATCAAAATGTATCCTAGTGTCACTAACACATCTAATACCACTGTTTCTTCCAACTATACTGAAACTTGTCTTCTTTCAATTGATGCAACATTATCTAATTTGCTTTCTACTCCAACACTCTTGAGGTAACCAATGTTGACATGATATCACAACTATCATTCAGTACAAGTAATGAATCTCATGTACTCAGTGGTATCGTCCATGCACTTATTCGTTCTGTATCTATGCAAGGAAGACCTTATTTTACCCTGGTGAAGTCATATTAACTTGCTGCCATTATTAGGAGTTTCCACCAGTTATTCGCCGATCAGAGTGTACCAAGAGCCATCGTGTCCAGAGATGTTCCAACTTCTCTTCTACTCTTTGTCAATGTGAAGAGAACTTCTCATGCCATTGGTGTAGGAGGCAGTGGAAACCCGAAAACTCCGGAGACCTAGAGTATTCATCAGCCTGCCCAATGCTCTGAACACTTCACAAGACCTCGAAAAATGATCGAGATGTTTCCAACACCCAAAATGATCGAGCAGACAACTTCGTCCCCAGGTGTTGGATAAGGTAAATAATTTCCATTCATGAAAAACAAAGCAAACAATATCGTATTAATTACTCCACAAAGTTTAAATAATTTTAAAGTATTAAATCGTGGGCTCATCGCTTTGTGTGAATGTTAAGCATATCAGACCATTGCTGCAATCTCGTACTATTATTGCTTTCTGGGTTTCTTTTGGTTATTTTAGTGATTAATAGGAATACACTCATTTGTAAATTCTATGCATCCTGTTGGTAGATAGCTACAGTTTCAAAAAATCGATCAGCTAGTGTTCAAGAAATATGCAAGCTCATTTACGCCTTTAAGCCGGGTCCCCTAACGCTCTTACATTGTTGAATACGTTCCATCTTATGGGCCACCTTTATCTTGCACCTGTTAACTCACGCGTACTTATTGAAGTAACAGTAAGAACGCCCAGCATTAGTAACCGCTTTGAAGGAGGTGTGTTTCGTATAAGGGCAAGCATTCTGGAAGAAAGGAAAGAGGTTAAGAAGACAGAACTCTTTTTAAACCTTTTTCTTCGATTCGTAGCTGACTGCACTGCACATAGAGAGGGTATATAGATAAGAATTGGAGAGATAAAGACAGAGAGAAGGCGAAACAGAGCATGAGAAATGGTGAGAAAACGATAGGGCAGTGTATGCCGTTGTTTTAAGCTAAAGGACAGGGGGGTAAAATTTGATTCATCTGCTGAAACGACTAAAGACTGTGAAGGTGGAAAGAAGGAGCGTGCGAAGGATTTGGTATTAACAAACTCACTTATCTAGCTAATGTCAAGGAGTTTGAATATGGCGCTCCGTCTAATTGCATGAAACCGTAACACTGATAATTTTGTCTATGCATATGTATATATATTTATTTATTTGCATTTATTCTCATCTGTCTTTTATTCGCTTCATTTTGAAGAATTCGAAATACTATAGCGAATAGCGGCGAAAGATTTAAGAAGCAGGAAAATAAGTCTTCTTAATGTTTAAAGCTAAAGCTAATAAACACTTTGAAGAGACTGGGTTGTTGTAACTTTACAAGAGGAAGAGGACAAAGATGAAAGGTATAAAGAGAATTAGAAGTTGGTGGTTGAGCGAAACAGATGAAAGAAGTTGAGACATAAAAAGAGTTAGCAGGATGAAGGGAAAGCTCGGATTGGTGGCGATATCGAAAGATCATCCAATAGGAAGTGAGACACCATAACGCCCACCCAATTAAATAAACTAGAGTTACAGGAGAGGGTATCTCATTAACCAATTGGAGATGACTCGTGTAGCATTTTCAGGAAATATTTGGTATTGGGTTACTTGGTGTCGCTATCCTAGAAGTGTGATTGGGGAAGACATATAACGGTTGATAGTGGAGGCATTTCGGGATAATTATTTTATTATCTGCAGACACCGCCATTTACTTGTAAGGGTCACTCACAGTCAGTGGCACTAAAAGAATCAACGTGTAAGGAATAGTGAGTTGTGCCTAGTTAAACTTGATTTAAATTTTTACAAACAAATTTCTCACCATCAGTAAACTTTCGAGCTATAAGCTTCAATATTTCATCAATAAAGATGACCGGCAGTGAGAACTCAATCACAACAATCCATTCTTCCAACGATAGTGGCGTCAGCTGAAAGACATTCTGAAAGAGTAAAGTAATACATTTCAAGTATGTTCTAACAAGTGAAATAAAAATTAAATAGTTTGCGAATCGACAAACCGCTAGAAAGTCGACTTCAAGAATGAAGAAATGGAGACCGATGCTCATTATCATAGCACCAAGAAGCCAGTAATTGGTCCATGGTGGCATCACGAGAAGCGATTGGTTCTCAGAGAGACTAAACGGATGGAGGTCATTTAATGAACAATCATCTGATGAGAATTGACGCTTCATGCAAGAGAGCCATAATGGGAAAGGCAAGGAAGGCAGGAGGATTGCAAAGTGTGTGAAATGCTCAGCATGCTAACCACACAGCTTGAGTAGGCCGCCACCTAAGTCATTTTACCGTAGTGATATTAGCAAGGCGGTTTGAAGACAGGAAGTCTCATATTCATTCACCCCACCATCCTGGTCTCAAACTCCACCTTTATCCTCTTTCCGCAGCTCCACGTTCCCAGTCAACCAAAGGGGCTTTTTTATTTAAAAACTTTAGGTGGCAGCCTCATAAGACACTGGTGGTTAAGAGCATTTGCACAAAGGGCTCCACTAGGTAATGGCGCTCAATTTTGTTTTGATATCATTAATTCTAGAAGGTCCCTATATTTGTGAGGGCCACCAACATGTTAAGGAAGAACTTAGAAGGAACTATGAGAATGAAATCGCCACACTACCCTAGGAGCCCCTTGGTTCACTGGTTGCATGAAAGCTCGAAGAAGAGAGATAAAAGGGTGAAGGGAGAAACGAATGGGATACAGAAAGGGGAGAATCTTCCTGCCATGCAAACAACCACTGCGTTTACGGCATAGCATGGACTACCTATGTCTTGGTTTTATGCGGCCTACTCACCTGTTCATTGCGTTGAGCATTTCTACCATTACAAGCACGGAAAGAGCCATAGTCATGGGTTTGGGGTGCCCGAAGATTAAGCAATCGATTCCCTTGAATCGACTCTCTTGGGCCAAGCATTGTGACTGATGCGTCTATATTTGGGGGTAACAAGGAAAAGAACATGCTACTCTTAGATATGTACGCTGTGGTTGGTTTTTTACCTGTTCATGGCATTGAGCATTTCGACCAAGACTAAGACTGATAAAGCCATGGTCATGGGCTTTGGATTCTCGAAGATATGACAGTCTATGCCGTGGAAGTTGTCATGCTCTGCCAAGCATTGCATGTGATGGGTCTATGTAAGGAGTTATCATGTACAATTATTATCATTCTATTGTCACTGCTATTAGACTAGGGCTTCTAGAAAGTCGCAGTCTAACATGTCTCTACTATAATTTGGAAAAGACATGATCTATTCCCCTTAAGCAGTTGTTTTTGCTGAATTGTGTTCATTCGTAGACATGTCTTACTAATTGTCTCGCTGTCCAAAAATTTTTCCAATTGTACCATTTCATTCACTATTTTCAGTTCTCGTGTCCTATGTTTAAGTGGTACACCCGTCGATGGTTCAATTTAAATTCTTCATTTTGATCCTTTCTTCCTCTTATTAAATGCATGGGTTTTGAATAACTTCAGTTTGCTCATCCACTAGTAACTTTGCATGTTCAAATGTATTCCTTCATTAATGAATTTTTCAATAAAATTCTCCCCCTGTATTCTCGCACTGTGGAAACAAATTAATAACAGTTTCCCTTAAACACCCCTTTCTGTGGCACTCAAAATTTAGTGCTAGAGAGAAATTAGTAAGTAATGTGTTGAGGCCTAATTTGCACAATCGTTCTACTTTTCATCCACAGCCTATTTAGCTTGGATATCAAAAATTAGCCCAAAGTGTTGCAGTAAACAACTTATTTTAAAACTCATTCAACTGGTTAATTGATGTCCATTTGGCGTTGAAGGAGAGTAAATAACTGTGAAAGAGTGCTTAAAACTTCATAATTCTCAGGCCTCCTAAATGGGTGGTCACCTCAGAATATTTAAATACTTATTTCCATTACGAGGTTCTCGCTATCTTTTTATTATAACTAGTTCCACAATAGTGCTCCTTTGTCTTTGAAATTAGTTGAAATGTAAAATAGAGGCTACTTACAAGTTGATAGTAGTTGAGTTGAGGACCCTTATTGTAAATCAGGAACCACCAAGCAGCAGAGCCGACAGTTGCGCAGCCGACATAACCACCAATAGCTAAGTAGCGGAAGAAAAGCCAGCCTGAGATGAGGGGATCTGAGGTACTTCGTGGTGGACGGCTCATGATGTCCAAATCAGGTGGATTGAAGCCCAAAGCTGTGGCTGGGAAACCGTCGGTGACCAAGTTGACCCACAATAACTGGACTGGAATTAGAGCTTCTGGTAGACCCAAGGCAGCAGTTAGGAAGATGCTAACAACTGTGAGATAAAGAGGGGTGAATTAGGAGGTCATTTAAGGTTTGTAACAGACATTCGTAATTTGTCCATATTTAGACCAATAAAGAAGATGCCTAAACTCCGACCACCGTTAAACTAATTTAATAAATCATATGTGTATCCGACGTAAGGACGCCCCTGTCAATTAGCCAACCATTCATATACCCCCTCTCCTTTATCAGGCCCTATTAGTAGCTTAAGGTATACTTTTTTAACTTTGCATGATGGAATATATTTCGGTGTCTTCTTGTTGCTCTATTAAATGAACTTTTTAAACAGCCACTTTCGGTAATAACTCAATCAAATGTAGCTAGTTGTCCAATCATTTTCTAACTTTGAGTAGATTTTTGCTAGTAGTTTAGCTGCATGGGGTGGTTGAATTTAGAACGATAATAAAAGCTTAATACTGAGAGCATCTCGATTGGCAATGGAAAATATTGTCGGAACTACGCAATACGTTATTATGGCTTGCTTCAGAAGCTTCATTCCAGTTTGGACTGTCATAAAATTGTCATGTCATACTACTCTTGGTGCAAAAAAATTGTAGATTTTCTTTCAAAAGCCTTGACGAAATATCTTACCTTCACCAACATTGGAAGAGATGAGATAACGAATGAACTGCTTCATGTTACTGTAGATAGCACGGCCTTCTTCGACAGCAGAAACGATTGTTGAGAAGTTGTCATCGGCCAGAACCATTTCAGATGCAGATTTGGCTACAGCTGTTCCACTACCCATAGCAATACCAATTTCAGCCTTCTTTAGAGCTGGAGCATCATTCACACCGTCACCAGTCTATAATGAGACAAAATATGCCATTTAGTTTATTAAATTTGCTACTTATTCGATATGAGTAGACATACCATAGCCGAAACTTCGCCATCAGCTTGCAAGAATTCGACAATTTTGCTCTTATGTGCTGGTTCGACACGAGCAAAGAGCCTAGCATGTCGAACGGCCTCGCGTTGTTCTTCATATGTGAGATCATCGAATTCACGACCGGTAAAGGATTTGCCAGTGGTAGGCTCATCTTCAGAGAAGACACCAATCCGACGACAGATGGCTTCAGCGGTTGCCTTGTTGTCGCCAGTGATGACGATAACACGAATACCAGCATGACGACACTTCATGATACTGTCGTAAACTTCGGTACGAGGAGGATCGAGCATACCAACTACACCGACGAAGGTCAAGTTGGTCTATGAGAAATAAATTATAATCAACTTTGTTTTAACCTGTATTTTTATTTAGGCTACATTTATTTATTTCTCATTATCAAATAAACAAAGACTGTAAATTTCAAAGTAAAGTTGATGGTATGATATAAAAAAAGAGATAAGAAGTAGTTTGATGGATTCAGTCAATTTTCCATTTCATTCGAAAGTTCAATTACTTGCGTTAGTTTAAAATTTGATAAATTGAAGAAATTAAAATTGCTTTCCATATAGGCAATATGAAAACTGAATACCTTGTCATTTGCTTTAGAAATAAGATTAACCGACCTCATATTTCTTAAACTTGGTAGAGTCCTCAAGATCCATTTGTTCCTTGGGGATTGGTGCGTCACAAGTAGCCAGTGCCAAGCAACGCAGAGTGTCACGTCCAGTTCCGTAGGCAGCAGTGAGTTTGACGATTTCTGCCTTGATTTGTGGTGTCATAGCAACCTTCTTGTTTCCAACACGCACAAATGTGCATCGATCCAGCACACCTTCAGGAGCACCTTTGACAAACATTCTTGGACCCGGACCTGAGGCAGTACTTACTCCCCCAACAGGATATTGATTGGAAGACTTTCCCTTTGGAGTGACAAAAGCGGACATGGATTTACGATCACGTGAGAATTCAAGAGTGAAGAGCTTCTCCCACATCTCTTGAATATTGTGATTACAAACCATTCCAACATCCTTTTTGGAAAGGCCAAGTTTGGATACATTGTAGACATTCATTTTCTCAACAAAGACGCAAAGGGCTGTCTCTGTAGCCTCACCAACTTTCTCATAGATGTTCTTTGTCTCATTGTAGTCCACAGCTGAGTCATTACACATTGCGCAGATGTTGGCCAACTCGATTAAACCTTCGTATTCACCACACTTAACACGTTGACCGTTGAGGAAGCTATAAAATAGTGAATTAGATAGTGTACCATTCATGTTTTAAAGTATGTAAAGACTAGACATACACTTCTCCCTCTGGGGCGTATTTGGAACCAGTTATTTCGAACTGGAGGGTCGAAATGTTGTTCTCATCAGCTTGGTTGAAGATAAAAGCACGACAGACGCTCATTTGGTTGGTGGTTAGAGTTCCTGTCTTATCTGAGCAGATAACACTGGTGCAACCCAGGGTCTCGACAGAAGGCAAGGAACGGACAATAGCATTCTTTGCTGCCATACGTCGGGTACCCAGTGCAAGGCAAGTTGTAATGACAGCAGGTAAACCTTCAGGAATGGCTGCGACAGCAAGGGCCACAGCGATCTTGAAGTAGTAGATTGCTCCGCGCATCCATGATCCACCATGAGCTGGATCATTGAAGTGACCAATATTAATAGCCCAGACAGCAATACAGATGATGGAAATCACCTTTGATAGTTGCTGGCCGAATTCATCAAGTTTCTGCTGAAGAGGTGTCTTGTCCTGCTCGGTGTCCATCATTTGGTTACGGATTTTACCGATTTCAGTGGAGAGACCAGTTCCAACAACAACGCCACGGCATTTTCCAGAAGCGATGTTGGTACCACTGAAAAGTAAGTTCTTCTTATCTTGGTTAACTGCACGGGGATCGGGAACCTCTTCAGTCATTTTCAACACTGAAACTGACTCTCCAGTCAAGATGGACTGATCAACGCGCATTGTCGTACTGAAGATCTTCGTAATACGTACATCAGCAGGAACCTTATCACCAACTACAATGTAGAAACGAGAATATTTCACCTTTTCATATTTCATACTTCAGGTAAAAGTGCTTTTGCATGTGTAAGAAAATGTATGATTGAAACGACCGTGCATCTTTCATTTTTGTTGGATGCTTGCGGAAGTTAAGGTCATTCCCAAATCAGGTCAACTTTCACATATAGCGGTCTTTAGGGCCTAGTAGAGTTTTGAAAAAAAAATAAATCCCAGCGTTTAAACTGCCCATATCTGGCTTGCAGATTTGTACTCAAAGCATTCACCATGAAATGCATTAAGCAATTTTCCGTTTTCATGCACCATGAATTTAATTGATTTGCTGAATCTGGCGAATATAAGATATTAGCGTTTATCTCGATTTTATTATAATTCTACTTTCACCAAAGTCAATCAAAGGAGCTAAACAAATCTTATTACTTTACTATTCTTATTGAAATATAGAGCTTCATTTAGCAAGATGCTAACGGAAATTCTGATATGAAAAGTAACGAAAAAGACTCATCAATTTCGGTTATGAGAATAGGTTAACCTTTAGTGAGATGATGTCTCTATTCGCTCAATCAACATAACCAATAATCAAGTATAACCACACTCCTAAAACCCCAAAGATGCTGTTGCTTAAATTTAGCTTTGATTCGTTAAATATTATTATATGAAACGTTTTCCCAAAATTTAAACAAAAGAATAATCATTCCTGTAAGGTAACGCCTTACTCTCCTCCTACCAGCTAAATCTTTAAGTGACTATTTTGTAGCTACCCATAATTAGATCTTTTCAACCAAATTACCCCCTTCATATGTTCCAATAACAATAAAAGTACAAATAAATTTTGGCATTAAGGCTATTTTTTTCGAGAACCCACCAGATACTTCAACAATGTCACCAGGGACCAAATTGACAGCTTTGATCCGTTGAATACCATGGTGATTTTTTCGGTAGACCTTGGCGATTTCAGGTTCATATTCTTTCAAAGCTTCAATGGCTGACTCGGCATTTCTTTCCTAGAAAATGTAGTGTGCAAAAAAAGATGCATTAAACTAAGCTAATACGCCCGCTCAATCAAAATAATCTCGGATTAGTCCGAATTTTGCCTCTTAGTTGCACTTTTAAGATTATTTAATGGTATAAGTAAACACATTCAATCTTCCTTTCCCCCGAGTGTGTTTAGACTACATCAAACTTATTGCATCTATTTCTACCATTCATTATTTCCATGTGTGTGGTGTGTGGAACTGTTTCAACTTGCAGTCATCTGGAGGCAATTATACTTCATGCAGGAAGTAACACGAAAGAAATTGGTTTGAAAATTTGGGCCTAAACGTGCATAACTGTAGTGTACATTTATTTTAGGATGTGTACAATTAGTATGAAGTAGTTTATCTGAAATGCGAAGTATCAATTACGACCTGATTAACCTAGCAATTCAACCAATGAGAAATTGTGTTCAACTCACCTGCCAAACACCGACCACCGCGTTGGCGACAAGAATAAGCAAAATGACGAAAGGTTCTACAAAAGCGGTGATTGAGTCATCATCCTCCTCGAATAAAGCCAATACCTAATTGTAAAACGAAGAAAAAATAACTGTAGAGAAATCCAGTGAAGTTAGAAATAAAAAGCCAGAACAGAATTCATAAAAATTCTGAGAACAGGAATATTTTTTGAATGTCTTCTGATTATGCCTGGGAAGTAAGTGCCTTCATAGCGATTCTACTGTATAAGCGGGAAGCCATTCAACCCCGCAACCAAAGCTGGAATAAAAGTATGCATGGAGGAAAGAAATGAAGCTGCTGCTGCTGGCGAGCGCAGGGGTTTTTAATTATTTGTCAGCATTTTCTCTTAATGCACTTGAAATATTATTCCTAATTAAAGCTTCATGAAATCTAGAGTGTAATCAACCTTTAAAAGGCGAAGTTAAATTGGATGGCAGATTCTTAATGCAGAAGGAAAAACTTTCAGAGGTTAATGTCGATCAAAATAAAATTATTTCAAGGCCGACTACAAATGGGAAAATCGAAGATAAGGAAACTAAAAGCTTACGAAAGAAATAACTGCGGCAAGGAGAAGGATTTTGACGAGAAGATCATCGAATTGCTCAAAAATCAGCTCCCAAATGGACTTGGCTACAAAATGGAAGATAGTTAATGAAATGTGAAGTATGTAAATACCCAGCGCATTTGGAATGACTTTACTTAAGTGGTAAAATAACATTGAAAATTATTGATTATTCTGCTTACCTTCTTCAGCAGGCAGTTCTGAAAGCAATGAAAAAAGCAAATCAGTAAATAGATCAATTGGTATTTTGGTGTTAAATTCATAATTAATAGTCAGTGGAGCCTTTTCATATTATGATTTACCATGTTCCTGAATAACGGCAATGGATAACTTCCAAACCGTTTGAAATGTAATTTCAAATTAGATCCCATAAGTAAGAAAAATTAAATGAAAATATTTTCTATAGATTTTTCACTGAATGACAAATTATAATATTACTCCTACGATTCCATTTTTAACACCAACATTATGACAATTTTTTTATAAATAAGGCATCAATATGAAATTGATTTAGCAATATCGCAGCTAAAACTCTGGCTTCTTAAATGTCCTACTCTGCTACTATATATGTATGATGTCGAAAATATATTGCCTACCAAAATATTATTAACTCGGTTAAATATTATTTTTGCTATTTTAATACATATTTCAGCTAACGATCCTTACCATTTAGACCGTGTTTTTCAGTCTGTCGTTTGATTTGCTCGTCAGACAACCCTGTCTCTTCATCCACATTGAAATAGGCGAGAACGTCTTCAACCTTACGGCAATGAGCATTCTCCATGTTTAGTAGAGTTTACAGAACTGGACTATTTTCAAATTCCAGAGGTTGTAAATGAGTTGCATGAACAAGGGTAGGAAAGACTCCGCAAGACACCTTAATGGAAATCAGGCGAATTATATGTGTGAGTGGGAAAATGGAGTGGAACCACTCTTATCCAAGCTGTGGGTCTCTTCTGCAGGCTTCTACTGCAACCACTGTCTCTAACGCTTCTACCTAGACAACAATTTTAGTAGCCTGATGTATCCACAGTCTACTCCGCACCCAGCACCCCCGCACCAGCGTGTTTCCATAGGTCCCTTAACATGAACATATAGAACACTAGTTTTAAATGCGTGCCTACATAAAGCATTGATCGCTTGGCAGTTCAACCCATCGCAGCCCATGCTGGCCCTAGCAAAAAACATGGCAACGAGGTGCGGTGTTCTCCCCTCAACGTGCACGCACCATTCCAGATTCCCTGGGATGGGTCCATGGTCCCCACCCCTGCACACATATGCGCACCTCAGTGAGCCAATTGGAGGAAGATTTGCTGACAGGCGTGCGCATAGGCAGGTCAGGAAGGTCATGGATGTGATAGAGCAATCGATTGCGCATTGCGAACGTGAAAGATGAAGCGTGCACAACTTTAGTGTGTGCTATTACTACTTTGGTACTTTTCTTGGTATTGTGTGCGTCGGTCGCCATTGTAGTGGAGTGGAAATCTAGGCAATCATAGCGCTGCACGTAGATGTTGCCTTATTTAGACAGAGCCTTTCGCCAATCAACACTTGCATAGCACATCTTAAGTAGCGCAGATAAAAGAAATCACATATTATACAAAAGCCAACCACATTCTACAGGAATAAATGTTTGAAATCATATAAAATAGACCGAACAAGCTCATTCAAAACGGAAGAAGATTTTTTTACAAATAAATATGTCAGTGTTGATTGCATTTGGGTTCACTGGAAAGGGGTAAACATCTTTGAAGGAATAACATCGAATGCCTTATAACTTATTTATTTACTTAGAATTCGCCTTTAAAAAAAAGGAAGTTAACTGAAAATTAAACTAAACATTAGCAAGCTAAATTTGAGTTCGAAGCAGTCAAAGTGAATTGATTATTAATGAATTCATTTAACAGCAGTGATTGTCTGCTTAAATTAGATAAAATGGGTTCCAGAATCCAACGAACAATGCGATTTCTTGTAGTAGAGTAGATTGATTATGGAAGAAATTAGTTGCAGGACACTGTATCAAACTATTAACCGCCAAAGGTGAGCATAGAGACCCGTAAACACACGAGAACGAATTACGAAACGTATTGGTCTAAAATGCTGTGACGGTATGTAAATGATTTTATTTTGGTGAATCAATAAATGAATATTTAAAATGAAGTGGCATTGTGAAAACACTTCTATATTATCTATCGCTTCTAGGGAGATCTACCAAAGCTACTTTTGGAAGAATGTTTTTTGAAAATTTTTTGAAGATAACTTCTCTAGCTTTAATTTGTCTACATAAAAGTGAAATAGATTGAGACGAAATGATTAAGTAAAATATCTTAATAAGGGGAAAACCAGTTGAAGTGACAGTTAGAGAACTCAATTTTTTATTTTTATTTATTTATCTCAATTTATTTATTTAGAAATTTAAATTTTAAGACCATAGAGGTATATAAGCATTAGTAAAATTCAGCCTACATGGGCACTTTAGAAATATTATATACATGGAAAAATTTCATAAACAGTTGGTAGAAAAAAAGTATCAAACAACTGTCATAAAACACTAGGAAATTAAATCTTGGTGCATATTGAGTTGTTTCTATTTGTAATAAATCTTTTACTTAATACTTTAAAACACTATAAATGACGTAAATACATTAATTTGCCAATAGCTCTTTATAGTTAGCGTGGAAAAATCAAATTTCCTGAAATGCTTAAGATGTGTGAGGGGACGTACAACGTTACTATGGCACTCAGACAGACTCTAAGGTGCGTTGTCACCTGGTGAGCAAGTGCGGTCATGAGCGCAGAGACCTGACAGTTAGGAACCAATCACTAATCGCTGTGATGTTTAACAAACAAATCGTGTTATTTAAATGACGCAGCTCAGTGACAGATACATCCCAAATAAACGTGTTCCGCATCGAATGTCGGTTTCCTCAGTGTTATTGGAGGGGAGGGGGGGGGGCTTGCCAAGGAGATTACAGGGAATTAGTCAAGGCTTATTCGTGGAGCAATGCACTAGAGATGAAAATATCATCACTACTCTGCCCACATACAAGAAAAATTTATTTCGGAAATGAAATATAATAATTAAATTAGCTATTCAACCAGTTAAACAAGCAAAGTGCAATTTTTGGATTTAGCAAAATTTAAACATGTTTAAATTTGCCCCTCAAGAAATCGTTGGTGTCATTGGATTGCTTCTACGATAAAGTGCTTGCTCAAGAGAGAAAGCCTCAGTTTTGTTCTGCCTTCTTGTTAAATTAAAAATTTGCTTAGATGAAAATATATTTCAGTAATGGATTTCTTTCAGTTTATTTAAAAGTGCAACTGGGCAATTTACTAAGTGAGAGTTACTTTGTTTATTTATGCAAAGTTATCTAGGACGCATAAATAATAAAGCTTCTGTATGTAGCATATTTATTATGGCAATTGCAATCAATCTAACAAAATATGAAGAAATTGTCCTTTTGAAAGGAACTTGCCTTGCGTACCTGCTATTTCCTTGGGGAGGATTATAATATGCATAGAAACCGAGGATCATACTTAAAAGCTAACTATTTGCCCAAATCGGGAAGGAGAGGAGGAAAACGCGATAATTGATCAACTAATCATGTCTTGCATTTACGTCCGTTAGCTGAAAAAAAAATACAGCGCACGTTAGAACAAGCTGATACGTAGCCACACCTAAAAGAACATAGTTTGGGAAAAGGATAGGGAAATTTGGCTCATGTAATTTGAAATAGTTGGTTCTTCTCCTTTCTGCCCAACCTGCCTGATTTTCCGATTTTGAAAGGACTCACATTAACTCCTGTGTTAACGTAAGTGATTGCAAACAAGCATGAGAATTTTCAGCAAATCTGATGCTTATTAGATTTAACAAAAACTTAAATTGCGAAATCGAGGATCCTTGAAGCCAATCCACTAATAGCATTATAATTCCTCAACGCCTTTCCTTTCAAGCAAATTGTCGTATAGTCGGCAAGATTGTCAAAGTTCCATCAGAAAATCTGAATGAGGATCAGCCATGCCTTGTGTCTTTGAAAATTCACTCTCATTTCCATATGTCACCATCTTCAATGCCCAACCTGTTTCTAGCTGCGCAGAAGGAGAACGATTATCTCGTGTTAAAAGAGAACCTTCTCTTTCAAAATTACTAATATTTTGATGTGCCTTAAAGGGGTATTCTGATCTAGAACAAAATTTCAAATTTTTTTGCATATTTTCATAGTTTAACTTTTCAAGAATATGTCTACGAGAGGATTTTTCAAAATTCAAATTAGTTTTGGAGAAATAAGTATTTTGCTGAGCAGGCATCCAAATCGGTTTGGCAGCAATTAATCGAACAAAAAAAATAATGGGTTCTCCGACTACCTGAATCTATATTTCTTAGTAAGCTCTTTTGTTCCGTTATATCTATATATCTATCTGTATATTTTTACATATATTTATGTTATATATTTCACGGCAATAGATTTATGGAATAGGAAAACACCAATTTTACGAGTGCATCAGCAGCAAAATTGAGGAAATCAAATGACGAAGAAGTGATTATAGATAATAATTACGACCATTGTGTTTTGGAGATTTTCTCGGTCTTCTCAGAAATTTCTTTCTTCGTTTCGTGTTCTACGTACAACAACGAGATTAGATTTTCAAGAACGGCTCAACACGGACTCGGGTTTAAAATTGCATTACAATGCAGTTGCAATAGTCTACGCTACATCCATCATTGTCCATTCGTTGATGTTTGGGTTCAGAAACTCAAAATAATATTGAGTCTCCAAACTCGCTGATATGGACTTT